TTTGAAATATCTTACTTAGAGTTAATATTAGGTAAAAAACCAGACAGATGAAGTCCTGGGTTACTGCCCTTAACAAAATCCACAGTTAACTTACATTCAAACTATATGAGCCTCAGTGTGGTCCTGATGCTACTGTTAATCAGCTGATCACTTTTCTGATCACTATGTGATTACTTCAAAAAATGTGTAATAATTTTGTGGCTGGTTACCATTGTGCCTTAATGCATTATTATCAGGGTAGACCTCACCAGAACTCAAATAGGCTCCAGTACAATCTCTGCCATCTGTTGATCAGCTGATCAGTGGCAGCCTTAGTTCCAGTGCAGTCTACCCTGCCGCAGATTCATTTTGAGGCACAATGGGAACCAGCCACAATTGTTTTTGCAGGTTTTGTGTAATAATTTTGTGGCTGATTTCACTTGTTGCTGTGTCATGAACAAGTGCCTGACTGTAACTGAATTACATTTTAAGGCTGCATACACACATTCAAATAATCTGGGAGAATTCTCTCAGATTTGTTCTCCTGGCAGAGACACTTATCTAGAATTGTGTGTATAGATATTCAAATACAGAGTCCCTGAAGAGTGGAGAGCTTGCAATGCTCACACTCTACAGTTGGGAGAGGGAAGGGGCAGGGAGAAGGAGGAGCCTGTGTACACATCTTGGGATGCTTTGCAGCCTCCCATAGTCTGCTCAGTGACAGATAGCACCAGTACATAGGGCAGCCCAGAATGGCTGATCCAGATTGCCTATGGTCAGCCTATGTTTCCCTGCAGCACAGTGTGGGGATTGGGAAGGGGACATGTTCTGCTCCCTGTTGGAGCAGCAGAGTCCAGTAAGTGGCACATTGTGTCTTGGGGGTGGGGTGGGGAAGGAGAAGAGGTGGAGACTGGAGAACTGTGTTCTTTTCTGAGAGAAGACAACATGTACAGATATTAACTCATCTAGGAGAAACTCTCCTGGCAATGATTTATCCCTGGTTGTTCTCAGGTTATTTTTCTCCTGGAGAGCCATTTTTACTCTGGGAGAAGCCTGAACATTTTAGCAACTCTCCCAGGAGAAGTGAATATCTCTTTAAAGTCTAAAACACAATTAACTGGTTAATCCCATTTTAAGTGTAACATCTGTTGGCTTCTGAGTGCTTGAATTGTGCATATATGAGCTAGGCTGTTCCTACTTCTTGTTCCATTTGCTTCAGGCAAAGAAGTGTTTTCAAATCTGACTGGAGGAGCTGACACTGTGTGTTCAGAATTATTGCAACAAGAGACTGTTATGTGATGGATTATGATTCATAAAAAAGAAAGATACATTTCCTTTTCTCCCAATTTGGTCACCAGCTACTCAAATTCTTTCTTAGGAAAGAATGGCTTGAGGGACACATGAGTGTAGCTAAGCAAATAATTAGCTTTATGGATTGGCAGCTGAACAATAGAAGTCCGATCAAACTGGAATTCAAATGTGCTTTCTCAGTTTTATCTTGCTGAAAATAAAGTCTTATTTCTGCTTACTGTGCAATTAAACACTGTAGTTTGGATGCTTGTAAAAAAAATAGAGAAAATGAATGGCTAACTTGACAAAAGTAATATTTGGTTTGTTTTTCTGCTTTTATCAAATAATAAAGTGGTTAGGGTAATCACCCAACATGTGAGAGACATGGATTCAATTTCAATAGTTTGGCTTGACTAAAACCACATATTTGATGTATTTACCATTTTCTGTGTAAAAAAAAAAAAAAAAA